ACTATAACTGACCCCTTACACTAGCGGAACTCGAACTTACTCTACATTAGCCTGGCAGTACGTTGATCGGACCTGATGATGTTCACTATGAGATGCTGCTACATCTCTCTCCTGCCTCTCTTGCTCTTCTTCTGGTTGTCTTTAATCGAATCTGACAGAAGAACGTTTTTCTTGATGCTTGATGTTAGGCTATTGTCCTCTCTTTTTTTTAAGCTTGGGAAGGATCCTAAGATTCCTTCTAATTATTACCCAATTGATTTGACTAGTTGTCTCTGAAAGGTCTTAGAGAGAATGATTAATGCTCCTCCTGTTTGGTTCCTCGAATCAAACAACTTCTTCTCACCCACCCAGTGTGGGTTCTGTCAACAGCTTGCCACATCTGGTTCAATTTGAGACCTCAATCAGGGAAGCCTTTCTCAAGAGGGAACAACTTGTTTCTGTTTTCTTTGACCTTGAGAAGGCTCACGACACTACATGGAGGTACGGCATTTTGTGGGACCTCAACTCGTATGGGTTGCATGGCCATATACCCATTTTTATTCATAATGTTTTACTAGACAGACATTTCCAAGTCCGTTTGGGTTCGACAACTTCCTGTTCTATCACACAGGAACTTGGAATCCCTGAGGGCTGTGTCTTGAGTGTCACACTTTTCAGTATCAAGATCAAAGCTATCACTACATAACTTCCTCCTACTGTTGCAAATGGACTCTATGTCAACATCTTCCACATCTCACATTGGTTGTTGAACATGAGGTTTATTGAGTGGTAGCTTCAGATTGCCCTCAATAGCTTTTTGAAATGGACCACAGCAAATGGTTTTACCTTTTCTTTTTCAAAAACTATTTGCAAGCATTTTTACCACCATTGGGGTCTACACCCTGATCCTGAGCTCTGTCTTGGTGATGTTGTTCTTCCCATGGTTCCTGAGGCAAAGTTCTTGGGGCTTATCTTTGACCATAAGCTTACTTTCATTCCTCACATAAAGCAGCTATGTGTCAAGTGTACAAGGGCACTGAACATCCTCTGTATCTTCTCTTCCACCTCTTGGGGAGTGGATCGATGCTCTGTGCTCATGATCTATTATGCCCTCATTCGATCCAAACTGGACTTTGGGTCTGTGGTTCTGCCAGGACCTCAGCTTTGAATATACTGGACCCCATTTACCCTCTGGGCTTCGGCTCTGCACGAGGGCTTTCTGCACTTCTCCAGTCTAGAGTTTGTACACTGAGTCCCACGAACCCCCTCTTCACCTCCGCCATTTGCAACTTTCTCTGCAGTATGATACCAAGCTTCGATCCTTACCACAGCATCCCACCTGGGGTTGTGTCTTTCTTCCTTAGTGTGCTGTGCTCTTTCAGAATAGACGATCTGTCAATCCTTCCTATGGCCTTCACATCCAGGCATGACTGTCATACTACCACTTATCACACCTTGGGTGTTTTTTGCCTGGGTGTACTGCACTTGTTGATCTCTCATTTTGTTACAGTCATAATATACCTCAATCAATCTTATGCATGATGCTTCCACTGGATGTTTTCTGCCCAGATGGACTGCACTTGACATACTCCATGTTATCCAAGTGCTTCCCCTGGATGTTCTTTGTCCAAGCAGACTGCATTGTTGATCTCATAAACTTATGCAAGATGCTTCCATTGTTGTTTTTGACCTTGGGCCACACTTAGCATAATCTGTCATATCTCAAGGTGCTTCCCCTGGATGCTTTCAGCCTTGGTGGACCACATGTATTCAATTCTGTCCTATGTGTATTCCTTTCTTCTTTACTGGGCAAAGAGCATCCCTGTTAGCTCTCTACTATTCCTGGAATCACATAACATTAGTTCTCATCCTGTTCTCATTGATATTCAACAACGACCGGCCTATTTTTTCATCTTCCATTTCTGTCCAGTTTTTCTAGATACCTGGCCATGTCGGTGTTCGCAGGAATGAGCTGACGCTGGAGCTAAGTTTCTTTGATCTGGTGCTGTCACAGCCATACCTGTCCCGCATATGGACTGTGGTCTTGTATTCAAGGCACGGCTTCATGCCAGTTGACTTGGGGTGAGAAATGTCATAACAAGCTTTTCCAGATCAAACATTCTGTTACTCTATGGCCGTTTTATTTCCACAAGGATCGGAAGTAGGAAGTTGTTCCGACAAGGCTACGCATTGGTCACAGTTTTTTAACTCATCATTTTCTTTCATCTGGTACTAATCCACCAATGTGTAGCCTTTATGACACTCAAATCACAATAGCCCACATTTTACTGTCATGCTGTCATTACAACTTTGAGTAACAGCACCATTTCAGACACCTTTTCTAGGGGTTTAGCCTTGACATTGGACGGTGTCATTGGTGATGGTGACACTGTCCAACTTGATTGTATTTTAAACTTTTTATGAACCATTGGCCTTTTTAATTCTATTTGAGTCTTTTATCAAATTTTTTGCACATTGTTAATTTTTTAACTCGATTCATCTTTACATCTTATTGAATTTTACGTTTTGAGATTTATACTGGTTGTTTTCTGCTCAGATAGACCGCACTTGCTATAATCATAACCACAAGGTGCTTCTCCCAGATGTTCATGCTCGACCTGACTGCACTTGTTCACACTTTTTTTTTTCATGCAAGTTGCTTCCACTGGATGTTTTCTGCCAAGATGGACTGCACTTGTCATACTACCACTTATCACACCCCGGGTGTTTTTTGCTTGGGCATACCGAACTTGTTGATCGCTCATTTTGTTACAATCATAATATACCTCGATCAATCTTATGCATGGTGCTTCCACTGGATGTTTTCTGCTCAGATGGACTACACTTGACATACTCCATGTTATCCAAGTGCTTCTCCTGGATGTTCTTTGTCCAAGCAGACTGCATTGTTGATCTCATAAACTTATGCAAGATGCTTCCATTGTTGTTTTTGACCTTGGGCCACACTTAGCATAATCTGTCATATCCCAAGGTGCTTCCCCTGGATGCTTTCAGCCTTGGTGGACCATGTGTATTCAATTCTGTCTTATATGTATTCCTTTCTTCTTTACTGGGCAAAGAGCATCCCTGTTCTGTAAGTAGTGCTGTACCCCACAGGTGTGCTTTCTATTTTAATTGTGGCACACCTGTTCTTTCATGGTGGTTGTTCTCCACTTGTTTGACTGTTTTTGCACCTCCACTGGCCCATCCACAATGTGAGATTCTAGCTTTGGGTTAGAGGAGGTAGTACCATTTTGGAAATTAACATTTTCTAACACTGAAAATTTATTTCCAATAGATACTTACCTCCACTCAGCCACTTCCCTCCCTTCCTCCCCACTGATTTGCTGATGTTTCTTGTATAAAAGACTGGTCCACTGTTCAAAATTTTAGCAGTGTTTAGAGTGCAAATCAAGGTTGAGATAGTTTTGGGTGAGAGGAGGTAAGTGCCTATCGCAAATAAATTTTCAGTGTTAGAAAACGTTAACTTCTGAAGTATGACAGACATGCTGTAGTGAGTCATGATCAACCAATGTGTATGTCAGTAACTTTAGCTAACTTATAGAAAATGCTGGAAATTATAGAAAAGTCTATTGAACATTAAACAAAGACCTGCTTTAGATATTCAGTGTAGTTAATATTTTAAATTTTAAATCCATTTATTCTAACCTATATGGATGGATATTTCCATACATTTACCTTTAAATATGTTGTAGCTATGATTTGAAAGTCACAATGAGAGGGAAGATATTTAACATTAAGAAAATCGCCATGTAAATATTATTATATTTGTATGTGCAATCTTTTGGTTTTGTTATAGGACATTTTTTGCTTTGTGCATATTATTATTCTGTGTTCTTATGTACATTATAATAAAGAGTAGGCTTAAATTTCATCAGCAGCTGACAGTGACCTAACTGCATAATGTTGAATCTGAAAATTTTGATAGTACCCTCTGCTTTATTCAGGCCAAAAAGAAACATCTTGAATGTTTGTTAAAAGTTGCATGATAATATAAGATATCTTTACCAGTTTGAAACACAATCAACTATGACAACTTGCCTAACAAAGTTTCCAAGAATGGCCCTGAAAGTTGAATAAATAAATAAATTAGCATTTACATGGCTAAATGTTCTAAGAGTTCTTAATGTTTAGATTTGAACTGTCAGATGTACCATACAAAGTTTATTTACAAGCAGTGCATTTCATATCACTTGATTTTCTCAACAACGAACTGATATTAACAATCGTCCATCAAGTCATTCAGGATTTTATATGGTCAATTAAAATATCACATTATCTCAAAATGTCCATTTCAATGTAAGACATTTGTAATTACAATTTATGTTTACTCTGTTTATGTTTAGAGAGAATATACTGTTAATGTTTGATATGCTCGTGTGACATACATTTCTACAGCCAAATTTTATTTTGTTATGTCAAAAATGCATTTTTAAAGATACCGTGTATTAAAATCAAAACAGAACAATGTTAAGAAGGTGAGTTGCATCAAACTTGACTTATAAAACTTTAAGTTTTAATGTATATCAGGTAATTTCTCCATACTGCCTTATAAGTTTGTGACAAAATAACCTGAGACACCTGAGTTCTGGATAAGTAGTTTGATTTTATTTAAAAGATGAAAAGTTTAATATGGTCAGTTAGTTTCTTTAATCAATTCATCAGTCATTAACTTTATAGCTAATTCTCCACGTTACCTATAATCTATTACAACTCTATTTTATATCAGTTCGTTGAAGCAGTATGCTCTAATTCAGTTGCTCTGCCATATGATTGGCAACATGTAGCATGCATCAAATTTCTTACTCTGTTGAATTAGCAAAAGTAACAAAAATATTTTTTTAATATGAACCACCAGTTTTATAACTATGTTACATTCATGGATAATTGGGCACATTAAGGTTATTTTCTGCTAGTACTTTAAACACTGTATTGTGATTTCTACACATGCTAAGTTTACAGTATGGCTGCTGATTTACTGGAATTTTTTATGGGACTAGGTTCTCAATCTCTTCCTGGCTTTGTTGCTTTCCTCTTTTGGAGCCTCAAACCTCTCTCAACCAACTTCAGAGAGTGCAGACACCAAAAAGCTACAGGAAGCTATTGATAGATTTCATAGAGCATCAGCATGGATAAAGAGCAAAATGTTAACTGTTCTAAAGGTGAGCTTATCTGATGTTTTTCCTTATATGAATGAAGTTCATTGTTGTGTATATGCATTGCATGCACTTCAGGTTTTATTGGTAAGATAAATCATTATCATTATAAATTCACTTCAGATATGTTTACTTGTGAACAAGCTGTTTATATTTTATATCAATACATTATTAAAGTAGTTCAAAGTAATCATTCACTTTGCACATGATCTTTAATCACTATATACAGATGTCTTAATTTCCATTTATTCAGTCATTCAGTCTAGTTGAAACATGTAAAACCTTTAACTAAATTAATACTCATCCTTGTAGTTGTCAGTTTGCTACCAACATTACATGTGTAAGTTACTGGGTCACTGCTGATCTGTCTAGTTTAAACTTGTACTAACTTTACCTAGGTTACTACTCATCTGAGTAGCTGACAGTTTAATGCTAACTTTCCTTATGTAAACTGCTTTTCACTCCCGATCTCTTTACTTAGAACATGCATTTACTTTACCTCATATGTTTAGCTGACAGTATGTTACTAACTTTCACTCTGTAAATTTACTGATAACTTCCGATCTGTAAAATTGAAACATACTATCTTTCTTTCATTTGTGTAGATAGATTTTATTGACCTATCTAGTTGTAAAACATGTACTAACTTTACCTAGTTTACTACTTGTTAAACTGTCAATATACTACCAACTTTGCATGTGTAAGTTGTTGTTCACTGTTGAGTTCTCTAGTTTAAACATGTACTAACTTTACCTAAGTTACTACATATATACTTGTCCTTACAGGTGACAGTTGACTACTAACTGTACCTTAGTAATTCACTTCTTTCTTATGATCTATATAATTGAAACATATTATCTTAAGTTACTATGAATCTGTGTAGTTAATAGTTTATTACCAACTTGACCTGTGTAAGTCATTGTTCGCTTTTTATCTTTATTGTTGAATCTGTATAGCTGACAGTTTACTACTTTCTTTACCTGTGCAAGTTTCTGTTAACTGCTTATCTGTAAAGTTAAAACATGTTGTACACTATCTCTTATGTGGAGCTGACAATTTATTATAAACTTTGCCAATGTACAGTATTATTCATCGCTGATATGTCTCAATGAACACATACTAACTTTTCATAGTTGATAATTTATTACTAACTTTACCTTTTTAAATTTCTGTTTACTGATGATTGTCTAGTTTATGCATTTATTAACTTTACTTTGGTTACTACTCAGTTATGTAATTGACAGTTTACTTTTAACTTTACCTGGGTAAGTTGCTGTTCATTACTGATCTGTGTAGATAAAACTGCTAACTTTATGTATCTGACAGTTTACTGCTAACTTACCTGTTTATATTGCTGCATCACCGCTGATCTGTCTAGTGTAAACATGTACAAACCTTATCTCTTCTGTGTAGCTGTTATTTTACTACATACTTTTTCTGTGGAAAATGCTGTTAACTGATGATCTGTAAAGTTGAAACATATACTAACTATCTATATTACTACCTATCTATGTAGCTGGTAGTTTAGTATATTACCAGTGTTTGCTGCTGATCTTTCTAGTGTAAACATGTACAAACCTTATCTCTTCTGTGTAGCTGTTATTTTACTACATACTTTTTCTGTGGAAAATGCTGTTAACTGATGATCTGTAAAGTTGAAACATATACTAACTTTATCTATATTACTACCTATCTATGTAGCTGATAGTTTAGTATATTACCAGTGTTTGCTGCTGATCTTTCTTGTTGTCATTGATGTATATAGGAGATCATGAACTACTAACTCTGCCTCTGTCAGTTAGTGTTCACTAATGATGTGTTGCTGATTGTTAACTACTAATGTTAGCTTTATAAGCAGGTACTCAATATTGGTTTTTGTAGCTGTGCATTAATCACTGACTATATATATATATATGCATTACTTTTCAATATTTAGTTGTGTAACTGACCATTAATCATTAATTTTAGCTTTTTATGTTATTGTTAAATAATTTCTTGTGTTCTTGTTTACTCTTTGTAACTTTGTAAGTTATTAGTTCATTGTGAGTATGCGTAGCTTACATTTTAGTGCTATTGTTCATAATTAGACTTTCTAACTCTATGAGCTATTGATTTCACACGTATAAGTTAATTGTTCACCAGTGACTCTTGTAGCTTACTATAAACTACTAACTGTATGTAAGATTCTGTTTAGTAGTGACCTATACCATTAAAAGTTTATTAATAATTTTCTTTAGGTTCTTTAAAATTGGCACAAAATTGCAAAATAGTTGTAATGAATTAAGTTTTCTGATACACACTAAAATAATTGTTTACACCCTAACAACATATAAAATGATTTACATTGCCATCAGATTTAGTAAACTCAGATTAATGTCAATATACTAACAGATGAATTTAAATATTTAAACTTAATTATATTTTGAATTAATTTACCATTTACAATGTATATTCTGGACTTTCAAACTAATTATTTAGTCCTAACAGCTCAGGAAATGTCTTATTTTAGAATATGAAACAGTAATCCAAGTTCTTGAAATAATCATTAACATTAAAATTTATGTATTCTATACTTTAGCTCTTAAGACCGAAAGTAAATAATCAAATTGCAGACCACACAACAAATATTCAAGAAGAGAGAGAAGAAAGTTTTCCTATAGAAGGGCTGTTGATTGATGGCCAAGTTCTCATGAAGGACAACAAATATCCAAGTGAGCATACAGAAATGGATATTATAGTTGGAGATGGTTTGGATGTCACAGTTCGGGGTAAGGTTCTGGATATGTCACCTTTTTTTTATTTTTATGCCAATAAGTATATTAATTTCTGAAATGGTACTACATTCTTTCACCCATAACTATCTTGACCTTGACTTTCACCCTCTGCATTGCTAAAATTTTTCAACAACACACCAGACTATTTTTGCACCATTGCAGCAACATGTGCTGATCATGTGACTACTCTCCACCAATCATACTGCACCATCTATACTGGCGCAGGTAGCTCACTCTATCATTGCAGCACAATCCTCACTTTCTCGATTGGCCTTCTAGCATATAGACATGTGTTTTAACTCGTTCTCCATGTGACTACAAAATTTTTATTATGCTTGATCACAAATTTATATCAGTTTCAATTTCAAGCTTCAACTTTTGTATTTGATTTGCATTGTTTCTACTCATTTGATTTTAAAATGTTTCTGTTATTGAATTATACTTTGTTCATATGAATTTGAGAATATGGCAGATGATAAACTTCCCGCCATAAGTAGACAATGGTTCCGACACTGGTCCTCACACCTGAGGGTTAACAATGTCTGTTTTGGAAGCACGGAGTTTAGTTTGCAGGGAATTCATGTATTATGTTTGGCTGGCAATTTTTTCCTTTCAAGTTGATTTTTTGTGCAGAGGGATAGACCTGCTGTGTGGAAAGTTTCTTTCTATGGTACTTTCCACCTGATATTGTGCAACTTCGTAATCTGCTGAATTAGGTATTGTTCTTTTTCCCAGGAGATCTGTAGTAAGTTTTTCTATGTGTATTTCTCTCTCTCCGTAGGTATACTCATGTTCAATGAGTTTCTGTGAGCTAGTGTGGATGGATATAATTCCTGCACTCAATAATTTAGATTGTTCTTATCTCCTCTGTTCAGTGTTGTGTTAGATTTTTATACTTCTTTTACTATTTAGGTTACTTTAGTTTAAACTTAGGTTTGGAGTTTGTTTTTTCCTTTGTTTTTGTTTGAATAATTTTTACTTCTTTTCACTGTTAATATTATTTAGTTTGTAAGTTTGTTTTTCTTTACTACAAGTCATATCTAACATAGGATTGGTTTTGAGTCAAACTTTGTTATTGTTAAGTGGGTGCCTTTTTCTCTCATGTTCTTCAGGGTAGGTTTTGTTTTTGTGTCCTTTCTCTTATAGATTTTTTGAGTGAACTTATACATTCAATATTTAAGGGTTGTTTATCTTCTCAGTTCTTTTAGTCGTTTTATACTTTAGATGCTACTTATTGTTTTATGTTTTAGGTCGAATTTCATAGTTTTGTAGGTTTAGTCTTTTTATGTACTTTGTAGACTCTACACGTTTCTAAATTTTTTTAGTTTGTTAGTAATTAGTACTTTCTCTAAATTCTTTAGTTTGTGTGTCTTTCTGTCTACACTTCATGACAGTTCCATGGTTTATAATGTTCCATCTGAGGGTTTCTGCCTTCCATTTTGCTCCCCCTCTATCCACTTCCCAGATCTCCTTCCCTCCTTCTTGGGATTCTATTTTGTCCAGTCGTCTTGTCTGTTCAAGCCCTACTACACAAAGGAGCTATTGAAATGGTGGTACCCACTCAAATGGAATTTTATTCCTGTCTTTGTTTTTGTTTACAAAAACATGGGAGTTTGGTGTTCTATCATTGCTGTGTCCTAACTGTATCCTCATCTGAAGATGCCTCACTTCACTGTGGAGTTCTAACTCCCACTTCAGTGGGTCTTTTTTCTTCAGTTCATATATGAGGATTCTGTCTTCCAGTTCTTGGCATTACCATTCTATCTTTCTTCAGCTCAGTATGTGTTTTGTCAAATGGTACGCTCTTTTGCACGTCATCTTCACTCGCTGGGTCTTCGGACTCACCATTTCATGGATGGCGGGCTTCTGCTCGCCTCTTCCGGTGCCCAGTCACCGATCAGACCTTTTCTTCTTGGTCTTTTCTATTATCCAGACCACTCCTTGTTGTGTTCTGCTGGTTGCTCAATATTTGCCAGCTCGGATATGGTTCCCTCTGCTCTGGCCCTTACTGAAGCAACAGACCCTGCCCTATGCTCTGTCCTGATCACTCCTCCAACAACCATCATCACACTCCATCTTTCTGTGTGACTTTTGTCCAGTCTCATGCCTCAGCTCAGGGACTCACCCCTTGTGTAGCATCTTTTCTTGCCTGTACCATTTGCCCTTCCTCTTTGTCTGTGTACCAGAGGCATTGGTCTTGCTTCTGACATTGGTCTATTTGCCATGGCTTCTGATCATCTTGTCCTTCTATTCCTCACCTGTCCCAGTTCTCCATCTGGTTGTTTGATCAGGGTTTGTCTGTTTCAGCTGTTGCTAGTCAGAGGGCTGCCCTGTCAAACACCTTCAGTTGTCCATCTTCGGGAAAGCTTTCTCTTCCCCAGTTATTTCCCATCTTTTCCATTCCTTTCATCTGGTCCATCTGCCGCATTCCTTTGTTCTGCCAGATTGGGATCTCACTGTTGTTCTTAATGACTTATCCAGTTCTCTCTTTGAACTCCTTGCAATCTGTTCCTTGTACCTTTTTTCTTTTAAGACCTAATTCCTACCCCTTCTCGAATGTGGTCATTATTGTTTCGATATTTATTCTATCCTTTACCATTCCTCGTATGTTCTCCACTATTGGGATTAGGCCCTCTTTCCCAGGACATCATCTGCCTGGGAAGGTTGTTTTGCCTTTTCTTCTTATTCCTTACCTTCCTTTTCCCACCTGTATTCCTGTTCGGATCTGGATCATCTACTTTGTCCAGTTCGTTCCCTGCTATGTTATTTGGCTCATACTGCCTCTTTTCATTGTTCTTGTTCCTGTCTCATTGTTCCATGGCATTCCTCTGTTTCTCATGATCTTTCACCTATTACACTCACTGGTTGGGTTTGTCAACTCATATGACTGTCATATTTTGATGTGTCCATGGCAGGTAGCCATCTACATAATGTTTCTACAAGCCAAAACTGTCATCTAACTAAATCTTTAGCTGCTCAAAACCACCGTCCACCGTCTTTTGGAAGAGATCATTAAAACTGGTATGTGGACAACTCCCAATACATTTGTCGCTCTTTCTCTGCACAATGTAACTGTGTCTTCCTTGGATGGGTATCATCTTTCTCCCATGGAAATTCTACACAAGTCTATTTGCCTTTGCCTGGGGTAAATCGACATATTGTTGTTTTTTATCTTATTTTGTTGATATATATAATATTTCAGGATCCCACCTGGTGGCAGGTGTTGCCCGGTCAGGTATGCTGAATTTTATATCTAAGTACAAAATCAGTATATTTCTATAACACCCACTGTGGAGATGAAGTGTTTCTGGCTGCTTATCCAGTGATGTATCTGTATATACATATTTTGTTTTATTATTATTACCACTGTATCATATATAAAGGACTGTTTCTCGTGGACTTCATGGGAGATTTTTGCTCATCCCTACTACCCTGCGATTCTTACAATCACAGTCTTTCTGCTTTTCAAAATAGCGAAATGCAGATGCCCATTGCACTGGTTCTGTCTCCAGTGTGTTGTTCCTCCAGATCCTGTCTTTCTTCTAATGGAGCATGGGGGTCTGTGCCACTTCCAGTTCCCAGTTCAATCATGGAGTTTTCCTCACAAGTGAGATTTATACAGTAATTAAAACTTCCAAGTCATATGTACCCACTCTGTTAGAAGAGAGCTATCATTTTTATACTTCAGATTATACATTATCATAATATTCTCAATCGAAGGCTTTTCTCTCAGATGTTTTCTGTCCAGGTTGGCTACACTTATTGATCCTGACTGCACTTGTTCACACTATTATTATTTTTTTTTATGCAAGGAGCTTCCACTGGATAGACTGCACTTGCCATACTCAAGGTGATTCCCCTGGACCACACTTGTTGATCTCTCAATACCTTTCTTACAAGATATGAAACACCCAGTCTTATGCAAGGTTTTTCCACTGGATGTTTTCTGCCCAGATGGACCACCCTTGACATACATCATATTATCCAAGGTGCTTCCCCTGGATGTTTTTTGCCCGGATAGCCTGCACTTGTTGATCTTATGAACTTATGCAAGGGTGCTTCCATTGTTGTTTTATCCCATGGGCCACACTTAGCATAATCTGTCGTATCCCAATGTGCTTCGCCTAGATGTTTTCTGCTTGGGTGGACCACACTTGGCCTATTCATATACATTTACAAGCCTTTAGTCCTAGCTACGTATTCTTATATCAAAAATCCAAATATCTTTGTGTCACATGCTCATGCTTGTTACATATGTAGGCATCTTACATACTATCTGTTGTTCACGGGTAAAATCTGTTTTACATGATATGGTGCCTGTCTATCAAGTTCCCCCATATGTGTCTTACTTTGTTCATTACTGGGTTAAGAGCATACCTGTTCCAGAAGTAGTGCTATACCCCATAGGTGTGCCTCCTTTTATAATTGTGGCACATCTGTTATTTCACAGCAGTTGTTCTCCATTTGTGTGATTACTTTTGTGCCTTCACCACCCTCTCCACCTTTGCATAGCTAGTAGTAACATTTCAAAGTTAACAGTTTCTGACACTGAAAATGTATTTCCGATAGGTACTTACCTCTCCTTTCTCCCCACTGATTTGCCAGTGTTTATAGTTTGTATCTGCCAATTCTCAAATGTGAATATTGTGCTGCAATGGTAGAGGAAGTACCTGCACCAGTATAGATAGTGCAATATGATTGGTGGATGGTAGTCACATGATCACCACGTATTAGTGCAAGAGCACAAAAATGAAGAGGTATAATAGACTGGTGCTCTGTTGAAAATTTTAGCAATGCTTAGAGGTTAAACGAAGGTTGAGATAGCTTTGGGTGAAAGGGAGGTAAGTACCTATCAGAAATATATTTTCAGTGTGTGAAAATGTTAACTTTTATCTCTCTCTAAAAAGAGGAGTAAGTTTTCTTATGTAAACATAGCAAAAAATACCCAAAGAGTGGGTTATCATTCATATATGCATAAAAAAATGAACTACTTCTATTCAAAAGAGCTATGTATAATTAGATATTGTTTTGAATTTGTCCTTTCTACCCTGCTGTGAAAAACAAGAAGCTCAAAGGAATATATGGTTTTTACAGTTTTATAAAATAACTACTACCTTAGTAGTTTCTAGATTTTATTACAGCTAAAAATACTATTAAGAGTTTCTATGTTCTACTTCTTGTTATGTGGTCAAATTTTGAAATTTTAAGTATGATATATGAATATAACCAGTAATTTGGTTTTATGTCTTTACAAAACACTCAGAAGATGGCCAGGCAGTTAAACTTAGGATGAATAGCAAACCTATGGTGAACTCTGTGCCTGTTGGCTCAAAGATAGACATCTTAAATAACAAAATAGTGAAGGTAGTTTTAATTTTTGCTTCTTTCTTTTTGACTGATTAACTGTAAAACAATTATATAAAAAGATTTATAGGTTTTATATTTCTTGTTATATTTTTTTATATAAGTTCTGACTATAGTTTAATTCCAAAAAGTTGACAAATGCCACTTTGAATTTGTTATTTTGTTATTGCTACATTTAAAATAAATTATGTATTTCGTACTTAATACTTTATGTATATTTTTAGTGTAAATTTTGTTGAAGTTTATGATGTATTTGCTTAGTAAACATGCTGTTATGGCATTTGACTTTTTAAGTAGCAAACCTATTAGTTTTTTACTATTTTGTCTCATTCGATGCTGTTTATCTTAAAGTCCTGGTATTTTTATATATAGAGCTCACAGCATTTTTTCTATAACTATCACAATAATATGAGTTAATAAGATAAAGTATTTTCTTCTTGCACACTTAACTGTTAAAAACATTCATTGTTTATATGTAGCTTGTTTTGACATTATCATATTTTAGTATAGGCAAGTTCATGATTATATGCAAGGTTGTAAAGGTTAAGATGTTGCATTACATTTTATTTTACTAGAGTTATATCCTACTTTTTCTCTTCATACTGTTTCTCATACTTCTCTTCTGATGTATTTTAAGGTTCTTAAACAGTCAATTATTAGATATTTTTCAACTGTGAAAAGTTTGCATATCTCAATTCAACAGTAATTGCTTCTTTATAGCTCGTATACTCTATATTAAGTTTTAAAATAACATTCATGAGTAATATAAAAATTGTTTTATGGGTATCTTTTAATTTGCAAAGTATACCAAAGTGTATCTTAAGACAATTTTCACATTTCAGATAAAACGTTTGTTAGCAATACCATTGACATTTTTATTTTTCAAACTTTGGATTTCATCACATAAATCTCAGAAGTGATTTTCTCAGGGCATACATTTGTTATTGTATTTTGAATTACTGAGATGGTAGAGTGATGAACAAAAACAGACATTAATAATTTTTTCTAAGAATTCTGATATTTCGATTTTTAGGAAAATGAAGTTATGGGAAACAGATCATGTACTTTAAGGGAATCTGATATACCAGGTCAGAAACCAAACCACAGTCAAATGGACTGTAAGTCTGAAGTCTTTATTGTCAGCACGTCAGATATAGAGTTTGGTAACTTGTCTCAATCTATGTGTAGTGATGAAGAAAAGAAGGAAACTATCAAAGATGATGAAGAAGACAATGAAGGTGAGGAAGAATTAGTATTAGTTTAGGCACGAGAAATGAACCATACATTTCTTCACTGCTGTTTCCTGTTAATCCATACATAAATGTAATTGGAATTAAAATACTTTTACTTAATTTCTGCTTTGTTTCTATTTTTGTAGCTAAAAACCTAATTTTATTTCATTATTTTGAAAGTATTGATTATGAACTATTTCTTGTCTTTTTGCGTTTTGGTTTTCAGAGTGTTTCAAACGTTATACTGAGTTTTTTACAGACATAAGGAATTAACTGACCTTAAAAACATCATAAAAATAGTTTCAGAAAGCTTATAAATAGTAAATGCAAAACTAATTTTGAAATAACTGGTTGAAATTGTTCAGTACTAAAGACATGAAATCAGGATGGGCAACATTATTTTTAAATTTTTTGTGAATTAGATTTATGAGTCTTGTGAAGGTCAGAATTTTTTGCATATGTTTTAACTGGTTCTTTTAAAGTTTGAAAAAAAAATGATGTTAGAATTTGTTAGGTAAAAAATGTATAAACTGGTGGCTTTTCAATTACATAAAGTTAAAATACTTGATGCTGAAAATTTCATTTATAGAACATAGTTTAGAATGTACTAAGAGGGTGACTATTCTAAAGGTCCTTGTTGCTTTTAACTACTAGAACACTTAGAAGATGGTGAAATTCTTGATTCTGAAGACCTTGAAAAGCTTGATGCTGAAAATATTATTATTAGTGAACATCCCGCTGACTGCTGTCCAGACTGTTGTTATTCACATTTCTCCTGTTGCAATGGTGATGATGACTCCTTTTTATGGCAATATTACCAACTATTACGTTCAAAGAGCTATTGGGTAGTTGAGAACAAGTACTTTGAAACAGTTGTAATCACTATGATCATGTTAAGTAGCCTTGCATTGGTAAGTTTTTGGTGTGTACCAACAATCCTTTATTTTATTTTAAACAAAATTGACCACAGTGATATAGCTAACACAACAAAATGATGGAGATACCAAATACAAACTACAAATACAAATGCATTGTTTTAATTCTCTTTCAAACTGTTTTATACATTCATGCATAAATACCTCGGACATAAATTAATTAAAATATTCTTCTCATCTGGAAGCTTCAGTGAGAAATGATGGCTTGTGTTTTTTATGTTTTTCATGTAGGTCTAAAACCATAATGATATCAGAATACCCATCCAACTAGGAAACAATAAAGATAAATCTGCCACTTGCAATGTAGTTTGGAATGATGACTTACAGTATTGTTTTTGAAACATTTTCAGTATTCTTGAGTAGATTAACTGGTTGTAAGTTGTAGAGATTTTAAGATTACTTCTAAGTTAAAAGCAGAGAAGTAAACAAGTTATTTTTATGAAAAATGTAATACATGTAGTATATAAGTTGGAAACTAAGTGAGGTAGACTTTGTGCATGATCATTTTAATTAATTTCTTTGAAATTATATTTTTTTACATTCCAAATTTTTAGAAAATCACATTTCTTCAATTTCACCCCTTTGTTGTTACATCTATTACTATAGAAAAGTAGTAGTTAAGTATTAAAATTTATAAGAAATGTCACCTTTTAATAATGAATGGAGAACAAATAGACTGAGAAAAACAAAACATTTTTCTTTTGTGTTCAAATTTAGTCCATCATATTGGCTTTTTCAACTGATGAAGAACATAAGTTGCTATGCAAAATTTTATAATCTCTAAACAAAACCATTAAATACAAATCAATGGGACTTAGTAATTACCTTTTTTACAATTAATATAATTGATTAAAAGTCAAATTACCTGAATAAGGTTTTTTCTCTTGACCTAAATGAGTTTAGTTCATCATCTGTTGTGTGATTATACGTCTACCCTCAGTGGTCAGCAAAAAATGCTTTTCAAACGTTACTTTTCTTTTATAAATGATTAAATTCTAATAACACATTTACTTAAAACAATGCTAATTAGGAAAAATTGTATGTTACTTTACTAAAGACTGATACCCTCCTTCAAAAGTCCCCTGGTAGAACAGTGGTAAGTCTACGGATTTACAACGCTAAATCAGGGGTTCAATTCCCCTCAGTGTACAGAGCAGATATTACGATGTGCCTTTGCTATAAAACACACACACACACTTCTTTTTCAAGTTTCTTAAACATTATTGTATGATGTCATCTCTGGCCAAGAATATTTCAGCTATTAAACTGTGAGATTAAGTGCCAGAAATATGAACCATTCATCATTAACTGGTGCTAAAATATATTAAGAAGAATGTAAAATTTTGGTTTATGGTTAAATTGTTATTATTTACATGGCACATTATGAAAGCTAAAGGTAAGCTGAATAAAAATAATGGATACAGATAAAATAATTGTGTCATTTTGTAACTAAAGAAATGATTGTGTGACTAGTTTGCTAATTAATCAAACATTTATTTTTGGTTTAATTTCATCTTTCACAGGCATTGGAAGATGTACACCTGAAAACCCAGCCTATACTCAAAGAAGCTTTGGTCATTATTGATAAATTCTTTACAGTCATCTTTCTTTTTGAAATGTTACTTAAGTGGTTAGCATTTGGTTTCAAAAAATACTTTACTAATGCTTGGTGCTGGCTGGATTTTGTTATAGTCTTGGTAAGCGGGTGATGATAATTTTTGTCTTATGAGCAAAGTTGTATAGTTGAGTTCTTCTTTTAAATCACTAAAAATTAGAGTTAATATGTATATTATTTATTCTTTTAATAGGAAATTATTCAAATTGTTTCAAATAGATAAACTTCTTACTTGAAAAGTATCATAATATTGGGATTTTTGAAGCCTTATGACTATCAGTGCTAATATATATATATATATTAGGGTGGGCCTCAAAATCAAAAGGATCCTTTATGTACCCCATAATCTTTGTACAATCTACAATATATGTAAGAGTTCACCTTCCTTGGAAAACATTTATAGGTCGCCCAATGCTATTATTTATATCACAATGTAAGACTATTGGGTCATTGTAAACAGAAATAAATAAAATCATCCTGAAATGCACTGAAACTTTATTCACATTAAATATGAAGGTAAATACAAATAACAGATCATCAGAAATATTAAACAAGTTAATTTTCTTTTTAATTGAATATACAATTTAGTTTTCAAAAACTTTCATTGAACTTTCTCCAACTAGTAGCATTTTTTTAGCATTTGGAAATTTCTTCCAGTGCTCTGCGACAACTTGCAGCAGATATTGCTTTTGCTTTTCATTTTTGGTGATGGAGCACTTGAAATCTTGTATGAGCTTAACTCCTCTCTTAACTGAATCATTTACTACCTTGAGGGTTTTGGCAAACTGTTTGGCATGTTGATATTCTTCATTTTATTTCCAATAAGTTGGATTAACTAATGTTAGGAAATTAAGAGAAATGTCTAGAATATTAAATAAATTTTAAGTATTAATCATCACAAAATCTTCCAAGTTTAGTTTTTTCAACATCTCTTGAGTCCAGTTTCACTCGATGGTGTTGTTTGTCATTTACTCATTTTCCAAGAGCTTCCACCATCTTCTTCTTTATTCTGTTGTCAATTTTAGCATCAAAGGCTAGGGGAATTAATTCTTCACTTAGGTACCATAAATGCCAGCAGAAAGTTACTCTAGCAGCTACTGAAATTCCATCATTTATGGTGCTATTTTTCACATGAGTCTTAAAAAAACTGAGATAATTTCCTGGAGCTGCAATTGGATTCGAACTTAAAATTCAAGTCCTTGTGTAGAGCAAAGAGGCAAATATGCTGAGATCTCTGAGTGACTTCTCCTTTCTTTCGGTCCATTGAAACTGACTTCTGAACATTCACACTTTCATGGAATAATGAATCTTGGCCATCCACCTAGCCCAGTGCATTGCTCATGGATACATGAATCTCAAATACCACATGGTAGCTTGTCCGCTAGAAAAATTATTATTAGTTCTGACAATTTGCAATTGTTATCTCTTGGTTGTTGACTAGACAAGAGCTCCTTCTTGGCAAACTTAAGAACGTCCAATCTGAGTGTGTTATGAGTCTTCAGTATTGCAGAACATATCTGGTCACTCATAGCGTTTTTGATCAATGCTGGACCACTTATGATGGAATCCTTTGAAAAGACCAATTTCTGGGCCTCCTGATGCTCCTAGACAGTGCATAAAAAACATCTTTTAGAATTATTTCATATACGTGATGCCTACATGCAAGGTGAAGGAGATTTCTTCTAAGTTAAATTTTGATTAAATGGCAAGCACCAGCCAGATGACAGGTATTAGAAGCTGTTGTATTAAGACTCATTGCTTTGACTTTGTCTTGAATGTTCCTGTCACTTAGTGTTTTCATGACAGCTTCACTTGCTGCTTTTCCAGATTCACTGTGCAACTTTGGCACTCCAAGCAGCTAATCGACTTTATACCCTGACACTAAAATTGCCAACCTGTCTACTTATTTTTCCCCAGTGATGCTGGCAATATTTTACTATCCCAGTGTACAGTTAGCACTTTGATACAACCTACTTACATTGTAGGTAGGTATGCAACTATCGTAAAAGTTCTTTACAAAAATACAACTAGTGGATGATTCTTTTAAATTTGAGATGAAAGGTCCTATAAGAATGTAGTTTTTGAAAAATAAGATACTTAGTTTGATATTTTCTAAAGCAGTGTTTTTCTTGTGCCTTTCTTTTTTTTCTTTTTACATGTTGACTATCCAACATGCAAAGTAATTTTTATTTTTAGATTAAAAATACTTTTATGCATCAGAGAATTTGCAAATTTCACAAGCAAAATCCTTATAATGTTCCGATAGTTATGAAACGTTTTTTAAGAAAAAACTATATTCAGTCTGTTATTTTCACTAACGAATATCTGTATGGGTTTGGTTAATTTGATTGATTTTATAACCAACATAAAAAATTTGGAAATAAATGTAAATTATACCTTTTTTGTTCTGGAATGAATACAGATTATAACATGAAAACATAAATGTTTAGACTAAATTGCTTAAATCTCATAACATTATACATTTATATATATTTATTATATTGACCTTTCAGCCATGCCTGGCTAACAATACATAAATCACAATGACACAGCGCACCTGCACTCCTGTTACTGTATCCAGTAACATAAAACTGACCTTTAGTTTCTAAAAAAGTGACCTGTCTTAGTTGTGTTTTTGTGGACTTGTATTTTGTAAAATACAGTCACATTTCAATTATTATACATTATATATATTTATAGATTATTACTATTTGCAAATAACTTCTTAAACTTATTCTTCTTAAAAAATAGGACAGTAAATAAACAAGTGAAGCAAACAATTATCTCTTCTAGTTCAGACTTTTGTACTTGTTTGCTGCTTATCATAGGTTGCTAAGCCTTATCAAACTTTTCACGTGGAAAATGTGAAATGAAATAATTTTTTTAGGTTGTATGTATACATTTGAATAACAAACAAATCATAAATTACTATATCGATACCATAGAACTCAATTATAATTTATCAGTTGTAGTAACAAGGCTGTATTTGGGTCTAAAAGAAATATAAAATTTTGAGCAGAGTAAAAACTCAACTTACCTCTATGCCGTCTTGTATCGAAAGAAATATATAACGACTTTATATTTGAAAATGGCTGAGAAAGCCACTAGGGAACATTCTGAGCTTTCAATTGGTTATTCACAAGTCATATATAGAAGTAAGTGTATATAAGGGACTGTTTCCAAAAATGGAAAGAGGTAAGCCAGGCCACTGTGTTTGATTCAGTAATGAGAGATATCTCATCAAAAAGAAAAGATATGAGGTTCTAATTTTATATTCTAGCTTGTCAATATCGGTAATTTGAGTTCCTAATTTGTACAAAACTATAAAATTTGTATTTTGACATCACAAACATCTAATCTGAACCAGTGCTGCATTCAACATACTACGTGACACACAAAAATTGATGTTTAGGTGTGTTTTTTTAATATTTTCTTTTAAATTAAGAAATTAAGTGATGTATAATACTAAAAGTTGAATTATAATCTACAATTTGATACCAAACTTGATGACATAAGTATATAAAATAGTAGTTCAATAAAATTTTAAATGCAAGTCAACAAACACGATGATTGGCGTTTGACATGTGACCCATGTGGAAAGGGTTAAATGGCACATTTGAAGGGTTGAATTGATCCTTGACATTATGAGCCACTTCTTTTCGGTTAACAATTCTGCTTCTTCTGATTGATGACCTATTCATTTTAAAGTGTGATACATTGTGCCTTAGACTTTGCACTGTCACTGCTGGCAAATATGTTACATCTCAGTCACTGTATTAACATTTTGGAGTTTGAGGGGTTCATTACTCTCCTCTTCATAGGTTCCTTCAGATGAGGACATAAACTCAGTTGAGGCTTAGCAACCAAATTTGTTTTTTTGCCTTTATTGACGATGGCATCTTTTTATTTGTAAGTTTTCATTCCAGGGAATGTTGCTCTTTTTTTTGTCAGTACACAATCTACTCCAGCCATGTATCCCTTTCTTTCACCATGCTGATCAATCAAGAACATACGATCATCTTCTATCTTAATAAGCTTCATAGCATTAGCATGAGCAATGTCAAAAAGACTGTCAAGTTTCTCTTGAAAAGGACTCATTTTTCATCTGAGTTGTAGTCTTTCATGTTGAGTTATTTTTTATTTTTTTCCTTGAGTTAATTATTTTCTCTAACTTTTCAAGGGCAATGTGCTCTGTAGTTGTTGGTATGCAAGCCATATCCCATAGCTGAATTATCTCCCCGATGGTACACTTTGCACTATCCCTCATACTCATCTTCAGTGTCATATAATTGTGAAAGAATACAGACAAAACTTGGTGACATGCCTGTTATTTTTCATTAATTGGTCTCACAATCCAGATCTTGGTACACTTTTGTGTTTGAGTTGTACATGATAATGAAGCAATATTTTCAGCATCCTCCTTATTAAAAGAAGTGAATGAAATAAGTAAGTAACTTCACAAAACAATGCCACAACAAAATCTAAAACCCTTGTACATGCACTTGTCTTTATATAAATGCTGCAAGTCAAAAAGAGAATGCTGTGAATTTATTACTTTAAATATATTCTCAGTTCTTTTTCATTTAAATTATACATTTATTAATGTTCTAAATATTTAGTAATGACAGCAGTAAGCTCACAAAAGTTTTATTGGCTTGAGTGATGCTTAAATGTTAGTCAATCTAATTCAAGTTTGGCATAAATTATCTTTAAATTATTTCAAACAAAATTAAAGGGTACCATATCAAATTCAGTGAGTTTCAATTTTTACTGATGATTTTGGGACCACCCTAATATATATTATATATAATCCCAATTTTGTTTTTTATCTATAGATAGATAGATAATGTAATTGTCATATTAAAGTAATATGAACTTTTTTTTTCTATATTAAACATATTTTATAGTTGTATGAAATGTTTATATAAATGTTCATTGCATAATCAGAGTTTCATTTAGATTTGTATGAAAATCTCCATTGCTCACAGATAGCAAAATTGAAAACTATACTTCATTTAGATTATTTAGAAACACTGGAAGCTCACCATTAGTAGCTCAACTAAGGATATAAGAATAAGAACCTTAAGCAAAATTTTATAACATGTTTTTTACAATAATTATCTTTGATGGAAGGGGGGATCTCAAGTGGCACTGTCACTGTGTATACACATATGCACGCACACTTGCTATTAATGTAAGAAAATAATGCAAGTTCTATTGGTCTTTTCTAAAGATGCACTATGTAAAACTTTCTTGACACTATAGCATAAAAATGTGTTGCAGTGAAAACCAAATAGTTGCAGTGTTTTGTATTGGTCACTAATCTCAGACATCAAATTCACTCTCCCTAAAAACATTCAAATCCATAGCTTTTTTAAATGAAACTCTGATTGTAAGGTTAAGATTAAATGAAACAAAATGTGGTCACCTGTTCTATTTTAATGTGGAGTACCAGTTCTTGGCTGAAGAAAGTAGCCTTTTAACCCTTCACCTTTATCCCAGTCCTGTCCCAAGCACCTGCAACAAACTAATCCCTCTGGGTCTTCTTTTTTCATTTTGCTTCCTGTCTGCTGCCACTCCTACTTCACCCAACACATCTCAGGTGTCCATGTTTAATCTGGCTGTTGGTTTAGCAGGCTATGACAACATTCCTGCATTTAAAACAATGCGAACCCTACGAGCACTTCGCCCCCTTCGGGCCATGTCACGGCTGGAGGGGATGAGAGTAAGTAGTTTTGACACTCTTTTGATTGATGTCTGTTGCCTGCAGCAAGTATGTAGTCAGTAAGGGGTCAACTAGTGTTTTACCAGATTGCACCGTACCTATATTCTAATTAACGAAAGATGAAAATTGTGTAGCAGGACCAAACACACAAAAAGTTGGCTTTCTATGTTGACGTCATTAATGAATCACTGCCATAGCTATTGTGCTTGTTTGTTTGTGGATTTGGTGTGGCCTTGGTGAAGTCCGTTCATCTAGCTGTTGACCATACCCTTTGTTCAGGGATGAAAGTCTTATGTCAGTCTTGCTTTTGCCACATAAACAACCTGCTTTCTTAAATCAAATGCAGACGTAACTTTAGCCTAATTATATACCATAAGCTTCATTCTCAAACTATTTATAAAGCATATTTTTTCTTGGTAACTTTATAATTAGCTCTTAAACTTTTTTTTTCTTGAGTAAGCATTCTCTTCCTAACTGACACGAAGCAGTTGTTTTGTGGCATATGGCAGGATGGAATCTATTACATTTGGGGCTTAAGGTGTTCCCACTTTGTGCCTCACAATAGAGACTATTAGAGTAAGTACCAGTAAAAGGCTTTAAAGAAGGTGACTTTCTACCCTGCTAGGTTTCTGTGATCAATCTTATAGCTACAACAGCAGGGGTGGGAAAAATCCAAGCCTTCAAGACTATGCGAACTCTGCGTGCTCTGCGACCTTTGAGAGCTCTTTCACGCTCTCAAGGAATGAGGGTAAGTTTTCTTGTCATTCAGGTAGGATTTGCCCCAAACATGTGGAATTGTACTGGTGTTCTGATGGATTTTAGATACACAGTAATTGTGTTTGAATATGTTATTAATGATCATGAAATTATAGTATTAGTTGTTATTTAAACTGATTCCTTTTGTTTGGGGTAAAATGAAGTGCCTAAAAGTGTTTGTTTGCACTAACACATACAAGATCTCTTTCTAAATTTGATAAATATTTCATGTACAAAGACTTGCAAAGTTATTTTATTTCACATTTGATAGCTTTTGTTTCTATTTGAAAAGTAATTTCTCTAAAAAGTTAAATATAGATAGAAAAACAAAAACTTTTAATTAAAATGTAATCAGCTTTTATCGATGTTTTATTTTATCTGCAGCTTTAAGAGTATCTTAAAAGTAATTTAAAAAATATTTATTTCCAATATTAGATGCCTGACAATTTAGGAATATATTTTAATTTCTGAATGAGTTAGTTTTGTTTTTCTTGCATGCTGTTTTATTTTTGTTTCATTTCAGATGGTTTTTATTTGATCAGAAGCATAGTTTTACTTTGAGCAAAGTTTTTGCATCTGAAATACTGTACTCAACTTTTCATGTTATGGGATAAGGTAAGCATTTTCATTTGGTTTTAAGTAGGCCATTGGTACTTCTTATACATATGTGAGGTAAGCCAACTTGCTACTTTTGTGCTGTTCTGTGTTGCATGACTGTGGAAGTTGCATGTAGTTTTAGGTAATAGCCATAGAAACATAAAATTAGTAACAGCTTAACCAAAAGTAAATATTTTTACATATCTGTATTATTTTTCTTTTCAAGAATGACAAATATTAACTTAAAACAAACCAGCTGTACATGTTGGAGAAAGCTTCTCTGGGTATATGTAAACACACATTGTATCAAGGCAAATTAAACAGAAATAACAAATAAAGACTTAATTTAAAATAAATATAATTTGTTAATTTATTAATTATAGTAATTATAATTGTACATAGAGATACTAATTCTAGGAATGTAAAATTGTGGAAGCAACTGTTTAATTTATTTTTGTGCTTCTATAATTTTAATTACTATATTTAAGTTTATATTTTCAGGTAAGCTTTCATTATTTTATATTAAATCATTATTTGTTACTTGGATTTAATTTACCTTCATACAGTGACAGCTGTTTTAGCAAGCAAAGAGTAAATTGTTGAAGGAAATCCATTTCTGAACAAAGTTTTTTCACTTAGTTCCCTATAAAAACTAATTTTGAATGATTTTACAGTTGATAAAGGAAATAAATCTACAAAGTGCATGCAAGTTTACATATTAAATTTGGTGATTATTTTGAAATGAAACTTGGCTATTTTTTAGTATTATTTAAGATGGTGCAATAAAATCAAAGTATCAGGAATCTATGATTTTTTAAATAAAAATGTTAATTATCAATTATTAAAGCTAAATCATTGCTTTTTTCACTTGCAATAAATAAATTTGCAGCCTTCATTCTGCTTTGATTTATACTGAAACAGATCCTCTCACTTTAGTTGTTGAACACATGAAATTTGTGATCGAAACAAATCATAGAACCAATGATAGTCTCAAGATGTCTCACAGAAGTATCTTATAAATCCATGTTCTTCAAGTGAGGTCATATAAGTTGATTTTAGACGTGAGTGAAAGAATATGGAGTAGCATAGGTACATTTATTTTTCATTAATACCATTTATTGTAAATACTGCTTAGGAACAAGTCACATGGGGATCATGGGATTTTCTTTAAATGTTGTGACCCTGTATGCTTTTTACCAACTGTTATGTGTCTTAGGTTACAGTACAATATGAGATTAAAATATTAAGGCCTCTTTCCTTTGCAGTTACTTATTTAGTATTCATCTGATGAATTAGCTTGCAAGTAAAGTTTATTTGTATTGCTACATGTGATATAGTATTTCATCAATATTTATATTTAAAACACATATAAGTATATGTAAAATATTTGCAATTTGTCCACAAATAATGTGTTTGTGGTGACAAATATAATAATTGTTTGACCTCTAGTTCACTTTGTTTAACTTATGTGGTTGCTGTGGTATTATGCTTCCCTATATGACACCATATTTATGAGATAGTTAAAGCTAAGTTACTATTATATACAGCATGAAAAACCATCTTTTGCAGGAATTAATTGACTCTTATTTTAAATTAAGTTTCTCATTGATACTTTTGTGTTGTTTTACAGTCCAATATGAATACATAGCCTCATTTTGTTTTCATGCTTAATTAAATTCAGTTAAAATTTTAGAATTTTTATGTACGTAACCTGTTTTAAAAACATATACAAGAATATTTCAAAATACAAAAATATTAACAGCTGAGGAAAAACCCTTATCTAAGAAATGAGCTTGTTTCCTCTATTGGAAAATATATTTGACACAGATTTGCTACATGCCAAAATGTTTTTGGTAATAAGTTAGAAATTGATCAAAGCTGTTTTATAGTTTATTTTTAAATAAGTTTCCTTTGAAAGCTAAAACTGAGTAAACTGTACCCAGTGTGTCATCACAATGTACTATTAACAGAAATTTCAGACTATAGATGTAAGCAAATTGTATGCCATTCAGTTTTGAAATTCCTGAAACAGTAATTTTGTGTATTTATAGCTTGCAAAGACAAAGAATGAAGCTATTGTTTAAGAGATGCTAAATGAGTTTCCGGATTTAATCTTTTGGTCTTTGTTGAAAGTTGCAGCTCTAAAACGTTTAGCTTTATTTAAAATACTTTGTACCTTTTATAGCCATAGCACAGAACTTAATCTAGCTTTAGCCAAATTTTGATTTTAATTGTATGTGGCAAGACTTCCAATATGCTAGCACTAATATACCACATTATTGGCCTGTTTTAAGAACTGCTTGCTACTATCAACTAGTATCTAAAACTATCAGTGAAATTACTGTTCATCAAGTTCTAGTTTCTCTAAATACAACCTTTCTTTTCCGTTAAAAGTTTCTCCCTGGTAAGGCCTGAACTCTTTTTTTTTCCCTCTTTTTTTAAAACTCTTCTCCTGCATGTGATATAGCTTGTATATGTACAAAATTAAATGGTTAATAAAGTGGTTCAAGTCCATTTAAAAACAATTTAGCAGTTAACTAGTGTTAATTTCTCAGTTGGTTTCTATTGCTATTTTATGCATGAATGGGATATTATGATTGATGTACTATAAACTTTTTTTTATAAGCACATATTTTTATCTTTGTCTTTGTTTGACTTGACTTCTAACTATGTTATTGCTCATTTGCATTTGTTTAAAACGTTCATGGTACTAAATTTAAATACATAGTACATGATTTGATCTCTTTATTGATCATGTAATTCAAAATATGTTTGGAAGTTTCTAAAGCTCCATATTTAATATATTATTTTGTAATTGATTGTAAATCCTGTAGAAAATTTTCTAAAATTTGTGGTAAGAATTGTTGATGGACATTCAGTTATGTATACAAGCATTAGAAATGTAGTATATATAAGAGAAAATGTGTGGCTTGTAAAGTGTCATACAGTTCTATGCTGTATCTGTATTAAATTTGTATTTCATAAAAACTACTTTGAAGCTTTATGTATTTAAGATTTATTGGCCATGTTCTTTTCATACTGCCTATTAGCTTTCAGTGTTCCTTACTTTATACTTTGAATTTTTGATTCAGTTATTGTATTTCATTGTAATATATTTTATTAAACTGCTAAAAAGTATAGTAATCACTAATAAAGCAGGAGTGAATCTTTCTTCTGAAATAAAAACTTTCAACCAGAATGCATAAAAATATTTACTATACTGAATTTTTAATGAACATTCAACATTTTTTAACATTAGATCTTTAGAAGAACAAGTTTTGTTCTATGTTTAATGTGTTTTGTGTAATTGGTTTCCAATTAAAGAAAATTGCATAAATATATAGTAAATTTTATATAATAAAATAATTATTACTTCCCTAATTTCTTTGATCTAATTTATTCTTTATATATCTACAAAAACTGAAGAGTGACGTATGATTTATTCTGTTGCCAGGTGGTTGTAAACGCTCTAATCCAAGCCATCCCTGCCATTTTCAATGTATTGCTGGTCTGCTTAATTTTCTGGCTCATTTTTTCTATCATGGGAGTTCAAACATTTGGTGGGAAGTTCTATCATTGTGTAGATGCCAATGGAACCAGAGTTAATAGTTCCTATGTACCCACAGAAGCTGCTTGTAAAACAAAGAATCTATCCTGGGAAAATCCAATGATCAATTTTGACAATGTACTCAATGCTTATCTTTCACTTTTTCAAGTGGTAAGTTAAAGCAATTTAACTTTCCCTAAACTATGGTATTATTCTATTAATTATATGTAACAGGTGGATGGTAAGCATAGTCGTTGGGTTCAGCACAGAATCTACCAACTTAAGGAATTTATGTGTGGAATAAATAACTCACTTAGAGACAGTCATAATACAAACACAAAGTAATTTTTACTAAAAGCTATTAATCAGTTCCTCAACATCAAAGCTTCCAAAATTATCAAACTCTTCATTTTGAATACTGATATTTTCGTTAATCAAACATTCTACTATGTTCTTTAATATGGATACAAAATTGAATAGATTATCTATTAAAGTAATACAAGAAATTTCTTCAGTCATAGTTATTACTACATAAGTGTGACAGCAAATATTCCAATAAATATATTAGCAATTTAAAGATATCTTTTACTAGCCTTATTAAATCTTCAATACAATTAACGTTTTTCATTTTTATTTCTTCAGATATTATAAATTATTAAAGTGAAACACTGTTAGATTACATCAGAGACAGCATTACTCACAAAGAGTTTATGCAGAGTTTGTAATACAGCCATTATAATAGATCCACTGGTCTGTCTGGATCAGCTGGAGCAAGATGACTCGAGAGTTGAAAGTACGACGTTTTATACACAATTTTTCTGTGTCTAAGATTTCTTAGTAAGTCCAGTGGATCTATTCTGCATGTAAATCCTTTAATTTAATAGGTATAAGTGGAATCTTCCACTAACCACAACCATATATATATATATATGAAAGGATAATAATAAAAATACTCTCTTTAAGAGTTCCATGAAAAGATTGATCCATTAAAGAGACCAACATTCACGAGCAAAAGCAATATGTCTCCACCATGTGATTCCAACATGGCCAATTTTGCCAACAGAAAAACACAGAAAAATCAAAAACTGTCCATATCATTGCTTGGGAACCTGTAAAAAAAGTATCTTTGTACCAAATCCCACGTACAGTGGCTGAAATACAGCAGAGTAATTGTCAAAAAATCCTAAAATTATGCTTTTTGTTGCACCTTGACCCCCCCTGTAATTACTAAAAATTGGCAGATCCAACATTTTTGTCTGTCACTGTGTGTTACTTTTAGGAAAGTATCTTTGTACCAAATTCCGTGTAAATTGGTCGAAAAAAGCCAAATAATTGACCAAAACCCCTAAAATTATGGGTTTATTTAACCTTTTGACTTCTCTCAAAAATGACTAACAGTGTGCATATCTCACATTTTTGTGCATATGTATATGTATGTATGGAACATGTAAAAAAGTATCTCCGGACCAAATCCCATGTAACTTGGTGAAAATACAGCCGAGTAATTGACCAAATACCCTTGTACTGAGTGCAGGAAAATTTATACTTGTACCAATTTTCATCTTCATTGCTGTAAATATGACTGCACATGAACCCTGAGTATACATTTTAGGTTATTTGACCTTTCACCCCATAAAATTCTTAAAGAAGCCTAAATAGAAATGTGGCATATTAGACCAAGGTATAACCCTATCAAGTTTCAAGTCAATCTGCCAAGAAATGAAGGAATGGCAGTCAGTGAAGTGTTTGGAAGAAAAAACAACAGAAAAACACTATCTCTCTGCAAAGACATAATTATTAGAAATAAAGGTGTAATATTGGAATAAGTTTTAATTGAAATATCTGTATTGTATATATAAACATTTTATTTATTCTCTAAAAAAAGAAAGCTCTACTACTTCTATTTCAATGATTCTTTACATAATTTTAAAATTTAAATGACTGAAAATCCTTCCTTAGTTATTTCAGTCTTATCATCCTTAATTATGTACAAGTTCATAAGTTGTATGTAAATATTTTTTGTAGAAAATGCTCTCATTAGGTTCAAAAAGTGAGTAATTTGAAAACCAAATTCCACTGTTGACAGTTTAACTATGAAAATTAATAACTTATAACAAGTTATTAGTTAGTGATTAGTAGTAAATGTATCTAAAATCCCATCAATAATCAGCTGTCAATATGCTATTTGTGCCACTACTTAATATAATAATATATGAAATTTGTAAATTAAATACTGTTATAAAGTTTGAAATAGCAGTTGGCTTTCAAACAATTGCCCATCAAATCTGTAAATACCAGTTAACAATTTTAGTTTTTGATGAATTTCCATATGGTAGTAGTGATATACTCCATCTGAATCATTGGTAATTGCTATGCTTTTAGCACTTGTCAAAATAATTAACAAACTCAAACTTTTGATGCCATTTAATTGATCTCCAGTTGTGGAGTATATTTATACATGTACATGGTGAAACAAAAAGCATTTTAGAAGGTAAAATTAAAGAACACTTGTAAGACATTAAACACAATAATTAGATAGTTTTAATCTTAAAAGTGACAGTTTACTATTTGTTGTCTTTTTGTGTTAGCGTTTCACAGAAAAAATTCAAAACACTTAAATATAAGTTCGGATATGGCTGTCATCATATTTGTTTTTAGCTGCAGAATCACTAGGTTCCTAGTTCATAAGTTATTCTTTCCCTACCTTCACCTACAGTACCATATGCAGTTTGCTCAGTGTATTTCTGGATAGCTACATATACAGATATGTGTATTTTAACTGTTTAATACTGCATTCTGACCACTTGCCAAAAGCTTGGTTTTTAGTTTACTTATATTATTCTTTCTTTGTCCATTCCTTAATTTTTCTGTATTATTGATGAACTTAGATTAGTTTTATGTTTGTTTAAGTTTATATATATTGCTGGCATAGATTCTTCAGGTTTCTAAATTCCAAAATGAGGATTCAGCTTTGTGTACTGACTAACTATTTTCCTCTTGAAATCACTATTCTGCCTTAGAGACTTGTGTGCCACCCGCTTTGTGAAATGCCTACCTAAAATTCACCTAAACTTGCACTACTGCGTGAGCATGCAGCAAAACCTTCTAGCAGTAGGAATGTTACACATATGCTCCCTCTACATTCATGCACAAAAATCCTCATTCTTTTCCTTTGCACAGTTGTGCTCTGACGTGTCCAATGTGTGGTGGGGTCCATGTTGCTGCCTGGACCCTCTTCTTCTGTCCCTGCCATACAGTTCCCTTCACAGATCTTGAAGCCTAGGACAACGAAATGGAGTGACTTTTCCACCCATTACTTTTTTATTTACTGAATATCTCTCAACTTTTCCCACCTTTTATATTCTTTCTACCCGTTGTTTCCTTTTTTCTCTCTAGTTAGTGCCACACCTGGCATTTAATTTAGGTTTCAATTTGCTCCTGCTGTTTTAGCTCTTGTCCTTCCTACCTTACCAGGTAACATGTAGAAGTTATTGTGTAGATATAGTTTATTCTTTGTTAACAAGTCACTCGTAGGACTTAATGTTTAGACATTAAAACTAGTTTATTACTACTTGTACTACTTAGAATACAATGTTTAATCAGATTTACTTACTCCTTAACATATACCACTTAGTATTTTCTGTTTAATCACAGTTCATTTCTCACATGTACACATAGACATTCATGTTTAGTTGCTCTTTCACTTGTAACGTATAGTTGTTAATATTCCATCTTTGTTTATGATTTCTTAATATGTTCTTGTAGAAGGTAATATTTACATCTTGTTCATTACTTCTTTACATGTACTCTTAGTAGGTAATGCTTAGTCTTAATTGAATATACCTTGCCACATATACATAACTATTAATGTTTGATTCTAGTTTCTTATTATTTAACATGTATACCTAGAAGATAAGGTTTAGTTCTTGTTCATTTATACAATACTTCACTTGTACATGTGGAAGATAATGGTTAATTTAATTATTCCTTGCCATATACACATCCTTGTTAATCTTTAGTTTTAGCTCTCACTCCTTAACATGTCCATATAGAAGATAATGTTTTGATATAATTCATTACTCCTTAATGTGGCACTTATTGGGGTTAATGTTTTGACATAGTTTATTACTTCATTACATGTTACACATAGGAGATAATGTTAAGACATAGTTAATTCCTCCTTACCATGTTCCACTTAGAATATTGTGTTTGGTCATGGTTCAGACCTTTTTGTATACATAATAGTTACTCATTCTTAGCATGTATACTTTGATGTTAATGTTTACTTCTAATTATTACTTCTTCACATATATCACACAGAATACAGAATATGTTGTTTAATCATAGTTCTTTCCTCCTTATGTCACTTGGAAAATATTTTTCCTCATAACTCATTACTTCTTAACATGTACACTTAGTAGGTACTGTTTAGTTGTAGTTCATTACTCCTTGATATGTACACTTAGTAGTTACTGTTTAGTTGTAGTTCATTACT